GGATACTAATGATGAACGGGTTTATTTCTCGTTGGAAACGAACGGAAACACCATTCAGCTTTCCTCTCATTACACTGGCGTCATCGCTGCCAAAACCGATGAGTTGGTGGGGTTTTACACAATTTTCCTCCAACAGAGTAGTTTTCAATGATGAAGATATTGTACTCGATGTACCGTCTTTGACTTTGACATTTCCGATGTACCGTGTCCTAGGAGTAAAATCGTCATCGATCAATCTGGCATAGATTACTAGTTTCTTAGTGACAGAAATGTCCGTACTTTCATCAGATAGCACGCTCAGAAATTCACTCTGTCGTAATTGTTGTTTGATTTCCTTGGATATCACTGCAGCAATCGCGTCTTGCATTTCATCGGCAGTTTGACGTGAAGTGTATGATGCATTTAGCCCTGCGTACAGTGCTGTGTGTACGGAGACGCGTTCGGTTGATAGATGTCCCCACCACAGCCCTGCGTACCTCCATAGACAAAGTCCGGGAGCGCACCGTAATTGGTGCGCAAGTTAAAAATAAGAAGTTTCCCGGTTGAAATCGGCTGAAATGATGATTGTTACATGTAACAACCATTACAAAGTTATCTGAAACTGAAATGTCTTTAAAAAACGACTAGTAAAGACGGACACGCGGAGGTACCGGAGAAATTATTCACCAAACGCCGCCATTTTTAATTTCATTCACGCGACAGAATGCGATAGTTTTTAGGGCAAAGTGGCCGATTTCAATCACAATTGGACTCCGAACTGGGAGTTCTGGATATATCTGGTAATCGATCATCATTTTTGGTAGCTGGGCATGTTATTTCATTAAAAAAGTTACATTTTTCAAAGTCCCGGACTTTGTCTATGGAAGTTCGCAGGGCTGTGGTGGGGAACCGAACGCGTCCCCGTACACACAGCACTGTACGCAGGGCTAATGATGCATTCTGCCCAACTCTGAGTTTATCCATGGTTTCAACACTGTAACTTTAGAAATGACAGCAGCGATTCATATTTTCGTGTTGCTATGTCTTCCTTCGCCAGCCAAAACACGGTCTGCATTGCGGAAATAATTGCTTTGTCATTATCGGATAATACTTTCTGAACAGTGGTATTGAAGTCTGCACGTAGTGCGATTTCTTGAACTGCTTTCACGTGATCTCCACTACTGATGTGGCGGTCCAGCGTTGTTGTACGGAAATTCACACAGCCTCCCTTCTCAGTGAAAGGGTTTCACTTTCCAGTTTGAAGGCAAATCTTGCACTGTATGGAATTTTTCTCTCGATCATATTGTAACCAATGGGAATATTTCGGGTTTTGTTCCCAGCTAGCCTGATATCTGCGTTCAAAAGTCTTTTTCTTTTTAGACGAAGGTTCACATTGTTCAACTTGAACTTCAGGCGACTTGGCGGTCGATTCGGCGTTGCTCACATCTTGATCATGGTCACTTAATGACTCAGACCTTTTCTGCAATGAATTTGAAGCCCCATTGCTTGGAAAAAAAAGCGTAATACGCTTTTGTCGCCCTGCCGTAAGTTGCCGACCCGCCAGACTTACACGTTCGGTAGACGCGCGGCAACAACAAAGGGTTTTACTAGTATCCCTGGCGTCGTGAGTTGGGAACATCCGCGACGCAGTGCGTCTTTCTGCCAATCAAATTTGTGTAAAAATCGCAACAATGTTTACTTTACATTGATTGAATCACAAAAAGAACTGAGTATACCAAGGCAATGACCCAGTGATAAGCAAAATGCGCGACATGGCTCACTATTTTAGTGCGTCAACTGTGGCCCAGGGTTTGTAAAATAACGCGTCATTGCTGTGAATTTTGCGAGAATGTCGCGATGACGCAGCCTGGCAGCAACACTGCTTACTTGAAATCTGACACGCGCACTTCTCATTCCATTGTTGGTCCCATGCCTACCATTACACGTAAATAGTTGGTGTTATTAATATGTATAATTTTCAACCTAGTGGTTACAATTTGGCCGCAAAAATAAGACATTTAACACAGAAATAAATGAATAAAGACATTTACAGAGGTGATGAGAAAAAGACGTTTGTAATATAATTACTCTTCAGGATCTGTTATATTATATTTTCTACCAATGTTTGACAAGTACAATTCCTGTCAAAAATGTTTTTTTTCCATTAAATTTTGCTTTGTACTATTATTTGGGAACTTTAATACAATTCATGTTATAAGGAACATTGAGATTAATACAGTACATGTAGTATTATTTGAAGAACATAAATGTAATTACTGATGATCTCATTGATTTTGTTCAATTTTTATTAGATATGTTATCAGCATTTGCACTGTTGTGTTGTATGTATTCAAATCTTGAAAAATGTGGTGCTATTCCACATGTACTGTACTGGGTTCAAACTGCGTGAATATTTAATTAAATATGATGTGGTCATTTTTAACAAACGTCCTGCTTATGTGAATCCAGATTGGATTCTTTAACTTAAGTTAGACCTCTGAAACGAACTTGTATCAACTTCATGTTAAACTGAGCATACCTTTCATTATATTACCAGCATTCCATGGTTTGTCCCCACGATAACTTTTAAAAGTGACGGACTCAAGCTTTCCATTGTTTGGCTTCACGCTTACTTGAAAGTGGGCGTACGCTCAACTCGTATCTTCTGAGACGCTCAGTTACCGCACTCAACAACCACCTAGAGACTCATTTACATACCTCTAGACATTTTTTTCAGCAATACATTCAAAACATATCAAAACTTGGAGATGTTTTTAGGCAAATATAATACAATGTACGTACAATAAACAATACAACAAACACTTTTTTAGTTGTTGAGCCCACAAAATTTTTTAACAATGACAACGACGATGAGAACAGATTGATTTATCTTCATATCTTATTTTCCATTTTATTACATGCATGTTTGTCTGTCTGTCTGTCTGTCTCGATTTGATGACCTTCTATTCCATTTCTATATTCTTTACACTTCTATGACAATTTTAGACCATATTTTCACACATAAACGCTGAGGTAGACATTAGCAAATTCACAGATTTGACCATCTTTCAATTACAAAAACACATGCACAAAATTACTACAAGGTCATTCATGTTTTTTACCAAATCACCTCTTGTCTATTTAAGCAATGTTTCGTGCACTTTCAGCAGAACTATCCCAGTCAGGCTGACCAGTATATGGCAAGTTGCAATGCATTCATTTGGTATTTTTGCAAACTGTTTTATTCATATTTAAAAACCTATATGAAAAAGGGACAAAAGACAAACACCAAGCATGCTAAAAACACTTGCAAATCCTTCTGTGTTCAGTGGCCGATGAGAAGACATGCTGTGACATGTGCTGGGCAATTTGGTGAGTTTAAGTCACCCTAGAAGTGCATATTTACTTTTATTTAACATTGTCATCTATTTTGCTGTCTATTCCGTGGTATTTATTTGCTTTACTTCCTAAGCCAGCAGCTATTATGAATTTATAATTTAGATCCACTTTTTGGCTCTGCTGTCGACTTTGTTGAGTAGAGCTAATCATATTACCGGTACTGATTGTCCATCGTCACTGGCAGCGTCTGCATAAACTTTTTGCATTTTTGACTTCTCTTTCAAAATTCTGAGTCGAATTGTTTTGATACTTGGTGTATACACATGTATGTATGTATGTACCTTGGGTATAACTTTCTTAGATTTGTCATTTCGTGATGATATCATTATTTCTCCAATTTTGATAAATATTTTTGTCATTTTTTACCCCCACTTTGTCTGAGCGCTGAAGATTTACATATGGACCGATTTCAGATTTGTTCATTTTCTAATGAGATCTTCAATTCTCTAATTAAAATGTGCATTGCTAACAGTGGATATCTCAGAGGCTGCATATATTTGTTTTACCGTATTTAATGTTTTTTGGAGACTTTTTAACTGATGGGCCAAGCTTTCCAGCAAAATGAAATTCATCAACTAAGCAGAGAAAACATATACTACTGGTATGTGCCACCCAAGTGGATATCTTTTCCCTTTGATCAAAAGAATGATACCAAAAAAGCCAATACAGCAACAAAACTAGTGAATATAATAATAATGAATTTATTGCATCCTTGGAAATAATTTCCATTGGTGGACAGCAATAAAATGTTAGTATTAAAGTACAATACATACATATATAACTAAAGTAAAATGTCAGTTATTGTTATTTCTATCTTCAAATATTATGTTTAAGTATTCACCAACTTGTATCAATATTATGTCTTCTCTTGAATATTTTTTAATATCTTCACACCACTTTTTAATTCTTAATATTGATATTATTAAATAAATTTAATACTTGGTTCACACAGATTAGAAATACAATGTTGTAGAGCCAGTGAGAACACCAGTGCCCCGTGTCAGTGTTTGAATTTATTCGTACCCTACCACCACGGTTATTATTATACCCAATTTTCAGACTTTGATACTAAAGCAGCTGTAAATTGTTCTCAATATTATTATTTTGAATCAGCTAGAGTTAATTACTTGTAGATCAAAAGTTGCAACATCAGCATTTTCTACAGTATTCAGGACCAGACAGATATTAATGTTTAACCAGACCCACAAGATCTTTTATCTGTTTTTTTTGCACATAAATCAATACTACTTCAGACAAATATTTGTACGGCAACTGATACACTAGTTGCAATCAAGCACAGCTCCTAGTAGGAGCTATAAAGAGGTCAAAAGAGAAAAAACCTAATAAAAAACCTGTGCAAACACCTAACATAAGTTACGAAATGCTAAGTACGAGTTAAATCCATGCATGAATGCTTAGCTTGTGTCAAACAATAAAAACACCACTGCATTCAATGTTCATTTGAAAGATTTACTCTTATATGCATAACTATTTATTTTAGTGTGCCATTACAAATACAATAATCCACATGAGCACATCCAGGCACATTGTTCTAAAAAAAAAATACTTCGAGAAAAAAAAAAATACAATGAGAATCTGCACTTCTACATGTACTTCCTGTTACCATATTTATGCAATCTGTACTTTCTGAATTTACTTTTTTTTAACCATAGAACAAACATAGTTAAAATGACAGAAAATGAGTATATTATTAGCCTTGTTCACGAGTTTATTGAAAAATATGTTTGTTTTTTTATGAAATCCATTATTTTTACACATATTTCCCCTTGTATGAAGGCCATGCACCACATAATGTTTAAAAAGGGATCCATACTGATGTTTACTATGTTATGTAAAATACATCATTTGTTTATGCAAAATCCAAAATGGTGCTGCACGACTGTAAAACTTTAAAAACAGATGGAAGGTAAAATCTTCCTTTAGATATTTCTAGGTCAAATTATGTTATAGAGAGGTGGGGAGTGCCAG